AATGAGTCCTGACAAAGCAGATTATTTAATAAATACAACTAAAAAAATATTAAACTTATCATGACTAACTCATTGACGGTGATAGTTGATATCTTATTTTCACTTAAAACACGTTCGATTGTTAACCTATATTGTGATCAATTTGTTCTTTCTCTTTATCACGTTCTTCTTCACTAAAATCAAACATTTTTCTATAAAATCAAAAAAGAAAACAATCATTTTAAATTTAAATTCTATTCTATACTTTCGCCGAGAAATGAAATTCAACGAAAAATAGAAAACTAAATGATCAATTTTCTTTAATAATCAAGTCTTTATCTTATCTACAACCAAGTCTTCTCCGGAACGCTATTTTTCTCTTTGTGTTATGACGAAAGAAATGAATGAGAGAAAAAGATATATATATATAACTAAAGAGAAAATCCACAATGAGTGTTATATTGTTTTTGTCGAAGAGAAAGAAGAAGATTATTTCCTCAGTTAACTAATTTATCAGGAAAGAATCTTGTTCAATGATGTGGAATATCTACGTATTTATCATTATTTTTCCTCTCATTCTCAACAATGAAATATCGGGTAAATATTTTTATTTATCACATATCGAAGCTCATCTAATCATCATTTGAAAAAATCAAAACAAACTGATTTTCTTCGATAAACTCATCCGAAAATATACAACAACAATGACAGAAATTCTTCTACATGTAAAATTAATGTCAATGAATTTTTCGGAAAATAAACATATTAACAATTTCATTTCGTTTACCATTCTCCTCTATTATTCTTTCTATTTTTCTTATTTTCAGCTCTTTCATTCAATCAACCAAGATTTTCCACAACACCTACTTGAAATTCTAATGGAATCACTGTTGCTAATCAATCGATAGTTGGTCGAATTCCTGGTACCATTTTTGTGGACACAAACAACACTATCTATGTCGCAAATCAAGAAGAGAACACAATTGTAGTATGGCATGAAGAGAGTGGCAATCTAACAAAGATCATTTACGGTAACTTCACGCATTCCTCTTCTCTCTTCGTAACATCAAATGGCGATATTTACATTGATGATGGTATTGAGCATGGTCAAGTGCAGAAATGGATTGTAGAAACAAATACTTTTGCCACGGTGATGAATGTTCGTTCACAATGTGACGGTTTATTTATTGATATCGATAATACTCTTTACTGTTCAATGTCTCTTTTCGCTGAAGTAGTAAAAAGATCGTTGAATGATCCTGTGATGACTCCGAATCATGTTGCTGCTGGAACGGGTCGTGAAGGATCAGCTTCGAATGAACTAAATTATCCAAGTGGAATCTTTGTAGATGTCAACTTGGATCTATATGTGGCAGATTGTGGAAACGATCGCGTTCAGTTGTTCCAACCAGAGGAATCAAATGGATTCACAGCGGCTGGAAGAACCTCACTAACTCCAACAATTACACTTCGCTGCCCAGCTGGAATTGTCTTAGATGCTGAGAAGTATTTATTCATTGCGGATATAGGCAACGATCGAATTGTTGGTTCAGACTTGAATGGTTTTCGATGTTTAGTTGGATGTTATGGAGAGGGTTCACACTCTAATCAATTGAGTTATCCATTTAGTTTGAGTTTTG